ACATTACAAACTTTTTAAAAAGGAAATTCCTTGTCACTTTATATGTGGAAGGCTAGCGTCACTGGAATACTTTCCAATCAGTTTTCTCTCTATAGTTATTGATAGTATTTTGAAAAACTATTAATTTATGAACAGGGCATAATGACACACATCTATAATCCCAGTGACTCTGGAGACTGAAGCAGGAGGATCCCAAGTTCAACACTAGCCCCTATCAATTTAGTGAGACCCTCAACAGTTTAGTAAGACCCTGTCTTAAAATAAAAAATAAAAAGGACTGGGGATGTAGCTCAGAGGGAGAACACCTGTGAATTCGTTCTCCAGTGCCAAAAAACAATAATAATCAATAAATAAACTATTAGCTTTTAGGTGCTCATTTTGTGACATGGGTTAATCACAAAATAATATTTTGGATTCATTTTCTTGGGTTTTCTAGACATACATTAAATTGTTTATAAATAATGATGATTATCTTTTCATTTCCCAATAATTATACTAGTTATTTTTATGTGTTGTTTAATTTCTAAGTACAGTTGCAAGAATAAAATGCAACTTCAGTATTGAATATAATTTTAGGAATGATTTTCACTGCCACTTTGTGGAATATTTCCTACAATGCTGTCCATACTCTGTGGCAATTTATGTTATGCCTGTCAGATGCCTTCAAGACACCTGGATAGCCTAGTTCAAAAGGCCTACTGATAAATGGGAGCATGTCCACAATGAATGTCATTGATGGACTCAAGACCCTTGAGCCCACGGTAGAAATCGGAGATATTTATTCTGGAGAGTAGAGACTCAATGGAATATGGTAGAACAAAAATTCATTAAAACAAAGATTGGATATACTATATAACATCTCCTAAAAAGAAGTTCTAAGAACAAACTACATGCCAATTTTTGGTCAATGTAAGTCATTTTTGTTAAAAAGCAAATAGCAAATCCTGTTCCACCCAGCCCAGGACTCCTGGACCTTTGCGGCTGGTCTGCTGCTGGGTGCGCGACTCTGGAGCCTGAGGTCACTTGCGGGCAGGGTCCTGACACCAGGCTGCTGGCAGGCCAAGTGGTTCTGGAGCCTCTGGACTGCGGAGCACAGCCTGGCAAGGCCTGGCTGCGGGAGCCCGAGCCTGGGGAGGTCTGTCCACAGTACCTGCCCTGCCCTGTCCTACCCTGTCCTGCCCTGCTGCTGTTTGGTTTGCTGTCGGCCTCAGGGGAACGCGTGAGAAGACAGACTCTTGACCTGTCTCACCAGATAGATAGGCCTCCTGAACACTGCACCACTCTGGGGGAAAGAACCCAGAAAAAGCACATGGCTTCTGAGCAAAGAGAAGCAAGGTCCCAGGTACATCTCCAAGTTGCTCTCCTGCCCAGAACCTTCTTTATCTCTGCGTCTAAGACAACCCCTACTGCATCTCCCTATCCTCACCTGCTGCCCGTGGGTTAATACCGGGTGATGTGGTATGTAAAACTCAGTGACAGGAAGTTTAGGACCAGACAGAGTGCTGGATTCACAATTGGAATACTTAAGTTATGTTCTTGCTGCTGCCACCGGTAAAGTATGTGATCTTAGGTCTTGGTTGCACTTGACCTTATTTTCCTTTTCTCTGAAATAAAGATTGAACTAGAAGATGGCATTTGCTCCTGCTTGTCCTGCCAGTTTTGTTTTGTTGCAGTGCTGGAGATCGAACCCAGGGCTCTTGTATGCTGGAGGAACACTCCGGGGCTGAGCTATACCCACAACCCCTACACAGCTGCCTTTCATCGTTCAAATGATTTAATGCATTTTCCTTGTGTGCTATTTGCATTGTAAATTCTTTGAGGGCAAAGATCATTTCTTGTATTTCTTCCATATGTCAATAAGTTATTTTTCTTGTCATATATTGCATGCTCATGGTAGAAATTTCAGAGAATAATAAAAGCGTATGAATAGTAAAAGTCAGTTTTTTCCACTGTACTCTCACAACATTCTTATGATACTAGGAGTGGGGGGCAGGGAGATTCCTCACCCACCAAGCAAGTAATGCTGCAGAACCAGACACTGGCTGGGTGTCCTTTAATTCAATTTATTTTTGACACTGCCTTCTTGGGGGTAACAATAGGTCCCATAGGTTGAGGGCTTAGACCCTCAAGACTTTCCCCCAATTCAGACAGCAGTTTAAGCCAGTTATGACCAACCTTTATCAATTTGGTAGAGCAGTTCACAAAATTAAGGGAAACATTCACCAGCTTATAATAAAAATTACCACCAAACAATAAAAAATAAATTATCAGAAAGGATCCAGATAAAGAAGTACATAGAATGAGGTATGGGTGTGCCACCCTCCAAAAACCTCATGCGTTCAGCTCTCAGACTCTCCAAATCCATTTTTTTTTTCAAGTTTTTATGGAGGCTCCGCTAACACAGGCACGATATATGAAATATTTGGCCAACTTCACCATCAGGCCCTAGCCTTTGTCAATTCTTAGCACATTAAAAAGTCACTTGTCATTTATCAATTTGAAGATTCTATGGATTTTAGGAGATGTGTGCCAGGAAATGAGATGAAGACCATATGTTTATCTTACAAGACCACATTTCTAAAAAAGAAAGCAAAATCACTTCCTTCAACATCTAGAGATAACCATTGACAGCTCTTTGGTTCATATCCATAAGAATCCTTTTCTATGTTCTTTTATTTATGTACATATGTATATGTATTTTATCTTTTAAAATTTTTATTCTAAAATGTACATACTGTGGGGTGAGGATATGGCTCAGTTGGTTGAGTGCTTGCCTTGTATGCACAAGGCCCTGGGTTCGATCCCAGCACCACAAAAAACAAACAAAAAATCCTATAGGGGTGATGCTAAAATGTACATACTGTTTAATTTTAACCATTTTTGAGCGTATAAGTTCAATGGCATCTTAAGTGTATACATTCATCTTGTTAAGGAACCATCATTATCATCCATCTCCATTGTCAATGATGACATAAAACAACAACTTGACTTTAAAGAAAATAAGATAGCTTATCCTGAACCAAGTATGAGTGGCACAGGAACACGGATTCAAGTTGCCTGAATAACTTGTTCTGATGTGGAAGAGGTTACATGAACTATTTTATAGCCAAAGAACAAAAGTCATCAATCAATATGTTTAAGAAATAAATTGGTGGGGCCAGTAGGTAGGTGAGCTGTAGCAAAGAAGGAAAGTTTTTCCTATAGGTATTGACTGTTATAGCCTTCTTAGCCTTAGGGTTGGTGGAGGCTAGAGGTCTGTTAAGCTGTTAATACATTCCAAGAGGTTTACCTAATAGGAGAACGTTAGGTCAGATACAAAAGTTAAAGTAAATGACTTTTTCTCTAAAGGCCCCAATGTAGCCCAAGCTAATTTTTTCCATTAACCTACAATTTGCCATCTCTCCACAATCAGGATGTTCTCAGCTGAGGTCAGTCTGCATGATCTGTAATACAGCTGTGGCACTGGGGAATAAAATTGACTGATTTATGTTATATGCATGTACAATTATGTAACAAAAAATTCTATTATTATGTTTAATTGTGATGCACCAATAAAAATTAATTGAAAATATTTTTAAAAAGCAAATAGCAAACTTTGGTAGGAAGAAGACTCTCTTACAATCGAAGTTTTCAAAATATAGGGTCAGTGATCCATTACAAAGATACCGTGGAACAGATTAGAACATCCAATAGGTGGTGAGACTGGGCGACCATTCCAAGTCTATCTTGCTCCGTATTCCATACTTCCACACTCACTTCTATATCCTCAGAATGCCCAGCATCAAAGTGTTTATTGAAAATCATTTAAACAGAAATAGCATCTGCAAATATCCCAGTTATTTTTACAGACTGACTTTTTCATAAGCGTATTGTAAAGTTTGAACATGTAAATTTGTATGAATAAAAAAGGTACAATACTTTCTCCAATCACTTCTTCCATCTGTGGCCTTGAATCAGTCAATAAATATCCATTAGGATAGGCAAAAACATCAATATAGGAAACATCAATATAGGAAATAGGAGTCAACAAATGGGTGGGAAAAATGATCTCCATGGAAAGTTTTCCAATGGTTTTCACCTATTGCAAAAGATCAGTTATGTTTAAACATTAATTGAATTTCCAGAGACTGCTATCAGAGTGTATATTATTTAAGATTCGTACTTTTCATTCCCAACAAAGAAACCCTCTTCAGGAAATAGGTAATGAAAGCTGTAACTGTTCCTTGTTTTTTTTCATTCAAGATTAATGTTCTGCCCTTATCTTCTTACATTCCCAAAATATCCCTGGGCATCCTGTGCCCAGGCAAACATCCTAAAACAAACTACCAACAAGATGCTCTAAGTTACAAACCTGCAGAGACATCCTGCATATGGTGCTTCCTTGGTCTGTCCTGAGGGATTTATGTATAATTACCAATATCATATTTAAATAATAGTCCTGCAGTTCAGATGACTCCCTTGTGATTAATGTCACCCGGTTCCTTAATCAAAAGGTGTCAAAATTAATAATTCTCCATAAAAACTACAGAACTATGGCATATTTTACAGAAAAGATAAGGCATAATTCTTAGGTCAGTGTTGTTCTACATGTGGCAGTTGGTGAGCCTTCAAAACATTTGATCCCAAAGGTGGCCACAGAGGAAAGATGGAATGGCTGTTGTGGCTATTATTTCAAGATGGGAACAAGAAACTCCGTCCTCACTGGAAATTTTTTTTTGGAGTATTCTCTTCTGCCCGGACACAAAGCCATGTGTAGAACTGTGGATTGACATGAAATTAAAGAAAGAAAAGCACTGTTCTGAAAAACAAAACCCAGAATGAATAAGTCATGGAGATCCTTCGCCTCCCCGGGCAGCCTAACCCCCGGGGGCTGAAAGATGGCACAGGGAAGAGAGACAGGCATTGTTTGGGAAGGTTCACTGGAGGACCACACTGTCCCACTGAGCAACAGTTGGCCTGTCTTCCCCAGAGGTACAACCAGAGAACCACGGATTGAAGCAATGGAAGCTAACACCCAGCTGCTCAGAGTCATCCAGGAAATGCGAGCAGAGATCAGCAAACTGGAGAAGGAGAATCAAGCCCTCCGCAGGAAACTGGCTTCAGGTAGTCAAAGAGCCGCGGGCTCTGGGGGAGAATCAGGAGACGAAGGGGAAGAAGAAGTGCACGGACCACATCCAGCAACCCCTCATGGTGGTACTCCCACTGATGCAACACCAACCACGCTGGAACACCAAGGTACTGGGCTTGTACACTCTTCTGGCCTGTACTGGTCTTTGCATATGTCCTCAATAGTGGGTCTATGGTGCTATCACATAACTGCATTGTTCAGTATTCCCAGTGATGGGTTCCCTAGACAAAAAAATTCATTAGCATTTCCAAGCAAACTATTTTAGCAGCACTAAAACAATTTCTGGATATGTTGGGAAGAAACACCAGGTTTGTGGAAATTAATCATGTTAAGAACCACTTAAATGCTGCATAAAGAACACTGAATGTGTATCTCTCAAATGGCATGTTCTCTTGAGCTGGGACAGTGTTGCAGAATAGGTAAGTGTATGGATATCAAAGTCAGACAAGTATGTTGTCAATGATTTGTTACTCAGCCACTTGACTGTGAGCTAGTTATAAAACTTCTTTAATCTTCATTTTCCAAAATCCAAAAGCATTATGGTACCCAGCTTGTGTTTGTGAGGGTCACCTGCAATTGTATGGACTTAAGGCTCCATATGGCACCTGGCAAACACACATCATATGGCAGACAGTGGTTCTTAACCACATTTTACAAAGAGCTTTACTGTCTTACGTGAGGCATGTTGCACATGACCCCACCTACTGCACAGAGTGAAGGCTTCCAGAAGTAAGATCAATGTTAGATATAGTCTAGAAATCAAACTTCACCTTTTATAAAAAAGATTTTTTAAATTATAATTATTAATGCATAGTACTTGTGCAAACTGATGAGCTTCACTGTGGTATTTATATATATATATATATATATATATATATATATATATATATATATTTATATATATATATAAAATATATCATGCTTTGATGATGCCTACCTTCCCTTCTTTCATTTCTTGCCCCCTCCTCTCATTCATCCTTCTCCCTAATATCCCCTTCTTCTTCTCTAATAGTCCCTTGTCTATTTCCATATAATCTGTCTTAGCTTTCTTTTTTTCTTTTATTTTCCACATATAAAACATTAAATACTAATCTTTCTGTATCTGCTTATTTCCTTAACATCGTGTTCTCTAGATCCATCCAACTTCCTGCAAATGACAGGATTTCATTCTTCTTTATGGCTGTGTAATAATCCACTGTGTGTGTGTGTGTTTCCTTATCCATCCATCTGTTGATAGGCTAATTCCACATCTTGGTTATTACGAATAGTACTGCCAAAATAAACATGAGTACACAAGTATCTCTTTTGTATGCTGACTTCATTTCTTTCAGATAAATACCTAGGAATAGAAAAACAGTGGAATGAGATGGACATCACCACTCTAAATACATGTCCTAGGAATGGTATAGCTGAATCATATGATAGTTCTATTTTTAATTATTTGAGGAGCCTTTACGCTTTTTCCCATAATGGCCATACTAATTTACATTCCCAACAACAGCATCTAAGTGTTAGTTAAGACTTTTGATTCTGGAGATTATACATAAGGTCAGAAACCAGCAGAGCAAGAAATATGTTCTGCATTTAAATTGTCAGTGATATATTCAACAACATATTCACATAAAATTGACATACATAATTAACCACTCAAAGTTCTTAATGTCATCTGCCAAGGCTTCAGGCAATGCCATTTGGAGTTTCTGAGCAGATTGACAATGTGCTTCTCTCTATTTGAGTTTCTCTCTCTAGTATGGCACACTAGACCCTATGTTTCAAAGCTGAAAACAGACTCTAATCAGGATCTTTCCCTTTTTGTCAAGTACAGTTATGGACTTGAGTAGCTCTGTCTTCTGATTATGTAATAAAATGGCATAAGGAGATTAGAACTTTTAATGAAAAACAAAAATATATTGGCATTGGTAATATATCCTTACTCCGGGTTTCTCAACCTCTGCATTGGTGTTTTGGACTGAATAATACTTCATTTTGGAGGTCAGGATAAAGGGAATTCCCATTATCCTGGGTACTGCAGGATGTTTAGTGACTCCCCTGGCTTCTAACTACTAACTGCTATAGTTCCCACCCTTACACCAGTTATGATCGTCAAAAACGCCTCCAGACACGGTCAAATGTCAGCTGCCGGCAAAATTCACACCCCACACCTGCCACCGAAAGCCACTGCCTTGCTCCAAAAGCAAACAACACTTCTTCAGATCTATTTTCTAGCACACTTATCCTAATAAGAAAGTTGGGTCTTTGTGTATCTTTGTCCTGTCTTAAAACAAATATTGCATGGTTCAAAGAGCAAAGAGTAGAACCCTTTCAACTCTCAGGGTCTGAAGATCATCAGGCTTAGTGGAGGTTAAAATATTTGTAAGAATTAAACACATGATGGGTGTCACACTCCTTCAGCACATAAACAATAATGTCCAATGAGACATTGGGAACTCTTGCTAGGTGCATCAACAAAACACAGATAGAAGTGTGATTCACATTTTGCTTGAGAGCCCGGTTGTGTTACTTTAAATATGTATTTGTTTATTATATGTGATGTAGTACTGTAGAGTAAGGAGAATGAATATTGATTGGCTTGAGCCTGAAGACAGCTGGGTGATAGCCCCAGTTTTGTGCTAGTTGTACAAGACTGAGCAAGTCATATCAAATTGCTGATTGTAACATCATCACATAAAAATGAATGGATTGGGCTAGACATCTTCCAAGGCCTCTTCCAACTGTAAGCTTTCTTAATTCCATAAGTGCAATGTGCTTTTATGATCCGTCTCTTTGCCTGTACAACAGGAATAGTGGTAAAACCAGTCTCGGGACTGTCAAGAGGATTAAATGAAATAACACAAATAAGACTCAGCATGAATTATTCACGGTTGTCATATAAGTGGATGTATCAGAAAAATAGTGGTTGACTTGAGTATAAGTTTTTATTAGTATTTTCAATAATATTTTGCCAACATCAATTGAAATTCATACTTGCAATTGAATCATAGAAATCTACCAGACAGGAATTTCCAAAGATCTTCCAGTAGAAACGCCCTTTTTTTTTTTTTTGAGAATATAAAATCCAGAGAGATTAAGTGATTTATCTTACCCTTTTTGATAATGAAATGATATAAACTTGGTTTTTGAGGAAGAATGATGTAAAATCAGAAGTATGAGTCTCACTTTAAAAAAGGGAACATCTGAGCAGGCATGGTGGTACAGGCCTATGATCCCAGCTACTAGAGAGGCTAAGACAGGAGGATTGCAAGTTTAAGGCCAGACTCCGCAACTTAGCAAGATTGTGTCTCAAAATAGAAGGTGCTTGGGATATGGCTTAGGAGTAGTAGAGCATCCCTGGGTTCAATCCCAAGTACCAAAAGAGAAGAGGGAAAGAGACAGGGAGACAGAGAAAGAGAGAGAGTGTGTAACCAAAAAACCTGAAAGCAAGTCAGTTGGAACTGAAAGTTTATCTCTTTGCTCTGTGATATATGTAGTAAGAAAAAATAAGTCTTTGTGAGTGGAAGATCCTGTTTCCCCTGTACTCACCTGAGGACACAGAACGCTGATATAGCTCTGATATAGCTCAGGGTATTTTACATATTAATATGGATGTTATAAATATAGCTATGTCTATCCATCAGGAAAATGCAAATCATAACTACACTGAGATTCCATCTCATTCCAGTCAGAATGGCAATCATCAAGATTGCAAAAAACAATCAATGGTGGTGAGGATGCCAAGGGGAAAGGAACACTTAAGTGCTGTTGGTGGGAATGTAAATTAGTATGGCTGCTATGGAAATCAGTATGGAGGTTCCCCAAACACTAAAAATTAAACTAACGTGTGATCCAACTGTACTACTCTTTTGTATTTATCAAAAAGAATTAAAGTCATCACACTTTAAATATACCTGCACAATTCACAGTAGCCAAGTTATGGAATCAGCCTTGATGTCTGTAAACAGATGAATGGAATAAAATGTGGCATATATACACAATGGAGTCTTATTTTGCCCTAAAGAAGAATGAAATTATGTCCTTTGCAGGAAAATGGATGGAACTGAAAAGTATCATGTTAAGTGAAATAAGCCAGACACCCAAAGACATACGTCATAGGTTTTCTCTCATATGTGGAAGCGAGAGGGGGAAAAAAGAAAAGAGGGTTATCATGAAAGTAGAAGGGAGACCATTAGTGTAGAGTAATGGGAGGATGAGGTGGAGTAAGGGAGGGTATTGGGAATGAAATTGATCAGATTATTCTATATGCATGTATGTTATGGTTTGGATGTGAAGTGTCCCCCAAAAGCTCACGTGTGAGACAACGCAAGGGGTTTCAGAGGAGAAATGATTGGGTTGTAAGAGCCTTAACCCAGTCTGTGAATTAATCACCTGATGGGGATTAATTGAGCAGTAACTGGAAGCAGGTGGGGTGTGGCTGGGGGAGGTGGGACATTGGGGGTGTGGCTTTGGGGTATATATTTGTATCTGGAGTGGAGTCTCTCTCTCTCTGCTTCATGATATTCATGTGAGCTGCTTCCCTCTGCCACACACTCTGCCATGATGTTCTGCCTCATCTTGAGGCCCAACAAATGGAGATTGCTGCCCATGGACTGAGACCTCTGAAACCGTGAGCCCCCAAATAAACTTTTCCTCCCCTAAAATTGTTCTGGGTCAGATCTTTTCATCACAGCAGAAAAAGAAAACTGACTAAAACATTATACAAATATGTCCCAATGAAACCCAATATTCTGCATAATTAACATGTGTATGTATACATGTATACATATGTATACACACATACATATATGTTATAAGAATGGAGGGTGCCCGCTCAGAATGAGTCCTTGTTGGATAAATGCTCAAGGAAACCTCAGTATGTGCCTAAATATTTGGCAGAGATGAAATCTAGCCAGTGCTTTCAGGAATGGTCCCTCTCCCCTTCTACCCTGTGCCACCTTGGCCTTGGGACTATTAGGGAAGAGGTAATTTGCTGCAGAGAAGATAAAAGAAACAATGCATTACAGGGAACTCGCAGCATCGCCAGGCCTCTTTTTTTCAATTTGCTCATCTCCTTTACTAGCACATAAACTGCATTTGGAAATTATCTTTGAAATTGTGCTAAGGATGTTGGGATGCTGTGTTGACTATCTCTTCCCTTGTGTTGATGAGAAACTGAAGGACACACTCTATTTGTGACCCAGGGAGATGAACAAAGAGCTTATTGCTAATCAGTTCCACATTGAGTATAGGGCCCAAATAAAAATAAACTCAGCTTCACTATCACAGCATGATTTCCCCTGTTGTTTCCTGTGATTCAGAATGAAGGGCTGTCGTCTAACCCATTTAAACAGAAATGTTCACGTTTGCCAGTAGTGGCAAATCTGTTTTACATAATTATGAAAGTTATGTATCATGGCCAAAATAAAGTGTTTCAAGTTAACTTATGAACAGAATTCGCAGTTAATCACTTCAGACAGATTTGAACTTAACTCTCCCCAGAATCTTCTCTAAACTTGGTCTTCTGCTCTTCCAAACTACACAAAGCCAAGGAAACCTCCACTTCATGCATTTGCCATAATAATCTTATGTCTGCTTTCTGCAGAGGCAGGAAGCAAATTTAAGAAATAATTGTACTTCTGCGATTCTAATGCATGACACAATATGCAATGTTTTTACACTCCCATGAGAGTTATTAGCAAAGCTATGGTGAGAAAGAGAAAAGGGTCCAAAAGATGAAAACCAAACCATGAGGTCAGTGTTGGCCTCCTCGATAATAAGTGGATGTCCAAGGAGAAGTCAAAAGAGAAGCAGGGTGCTGTGGTGCACACCTGTAATTCTAGCAACTCAGGAGACTGAGGCAGAAGGATCACAAGTTCAAGGCCAGCCTCTACAACTTAGTGAGACCCTCAACAACTTAGCAAGAATTCATCTCAAAATAAAAAGGAATGTGGCTCAGTGGTAAACTGCCCCTGAGTTCAATTCTTAGTGCCAAAAAAAAAAAGCAGTCAATTGACAAGTTCCAGGTAGCAGTTAGTACAGTGTGAGAGTTGGGATTTGACAAAGATCCCCTAAAATGAAACTCTTTTCATTGGGGTTCTTTAGTTTCAAGGAACAGAGAAGATTTTATTTACCTCAAGAAAGGATTTTATTGGAAAAAAACAGACAGAAATTGCACTGAAAGCCCTCAGGAGCTAAGGCCAGGGCTCTCTCTCCACCTCACCCAGGGTCACTCCAACTGCCTATGCATCTTCTCTTCTTTCCACAGGTCTTCTCTGCTCTCATCTCCCCTTCAACGGGTTTCCTCATAATAACTTTACCATGGAACCAAAACATGCAATAACAGGCCAGTTAGAGCAACCACTGGATCACTGGGGCATTCAAGTGGCCATTCAGGTGACCATTCAGGTCAGGGATGGTGGATGAGCCAGTTCTAGAGTGAGGGTGAGGAGGCCATCAAGAATTGGCATCTCAAAAAGTCCCACATTACTCCAATTTTAAGGCCTGGGTTTATTATCTATTTATGACTAGGTCCCTCTTCCTCATTTAAAATCCCAACGGCATTTCTTGTAGAAATAGAGAAAGCAATCATGAAATTCATATGGAAAAATAAAAGATCCAGAATAGCAAAAACAATGCTAAGCAGGAAGTGTGAATCAGGCGGTATAGCGATACCAGACTTCAAACTATACTACAGAGCAATAGTAACAAAAACAGCATGGTACTGGTACCAAAACAGGTGGGTGGACCAATGGTACAGAATAGAGGACACAGAAACCAATCCACAAAACTACAACTATCTTATATTTGATAAAGGGGCTAAAAGCATGCAATGCAGGAAGGATAGCATCTTCAACAAATGGTGCTGGGAAAACTGGAAATCCATATGCAACAAAATGAAACTGAATCCCTTTCTCTCGCCATGCACAAAAGTGAATTCAAAATGGATCAAGGAGCTTGATATCAAATCAGAGACACGCCGTCTGATAGAAGAAAAAGTTGGCTACGATCTACATACTGTGGGGTCGGGCTCCAAATTCCTCAATAGGACACCCATAGCACAAAAGTTAATAACTAGAATCAACAAATGGGACTTACTCAAACTAAAAAGTTTTTTCTCAGCTAAAGAAACAATAAGAGAGGTAAATAGAGAGCCTACATCCTGGGAACAAATCTTTACTCCTCACACTTCAGATAGAGCCCTAATATCCAGAGTATACAAAGAACTCCAAAAATTAGACAATAAGATAACAAACAACCCAATCAACAAATGGGCCAAGGACCTGAACAGACACTTCTCAGAGGAGGACATACAATCAATCAACAAGTACATGAAAAAATGCTCACCATCTCTAGCAGTCAGAGAAATGCAAATCAAAACCACCCTAAGATACCATCTCACTCCAGTAAGATTGGCAGCCATTATGAAGTCAAACAACAACAAGTGCTGGCGAGGATGTGGGGAAAAGGGTACACTTGTACATTGCTGGTGGGACTGCAAATTGGTGCAGCCAATTTGGAAAGCAGTATGGAGATTTCTTGGAAAGCTAGGAATGGAGCCACCATTTGACCCAGCTATTCCCCTTCTTGGTCTATTCCCTAAAGACCTAAAAAGAGCATGCTACAGGGACACTGCTACATCGATGTTCATAGCAGCTCAATTCACAATAGCAAGACTGTGGAACCAACCCAGATGCCCTTCAATAGACGAATGGATTAAAAAAATGTGGCATTTATACACAATGGAGTATTACTCTGCATTAAAAAATGACAAAATCATAGAATTTGCAGGGAAATGGATGGCACTAGAGCAGATTATGCTAAGTGAAGCTAGCCAATCCCTAAAAAACAAATGCCAAATGTCTTCTTTGATATAAGGAGAGTAACTAAGAACAGAGTAGGGACGAAGAGCATGAGAAGAAGATTAACATTAAACAGAGATGAGAGGTGGGAGGGAAACGGAGAGAAAAGGGAAATTGCATGGAAATGGAAGGAGACCCTCAGGATTATACAAAAGAACATACAAGAGGAAATGAGGGGAAAGGGAAAAATAATACAAGGTGGAGAAATGAAGGTCAGTAGAGGGGGCAGAGAGAGAAGAGGGGAGGGGAGGGGAGGGGGGATAGTAGAGGATAGGAAAGGTAGCAGAACACGACAGTCACTAGTATGGCAATATGTAAATCAATGGATGTGTAACCGATGTGATTCTGCAATCTGTATACGGGGTAAAAATGGGAGTTCATAACCCACTTGAAGCAAAGTGTGAAAGATGATATATCAAGAACTATGTAATGTTTTGAACAACCAACAATAAAAAAAATAAAATAAAATAAAAAAATAAATAAAATAAAATTAATTGGTACTGTTTTAATTGTATATAATTATGGGGTATAGTGTGATAATTTGATAAAAGTATGCAATGTGTAATGCTCAAGGAATTAGCATTTCCATCTTAAACATTTTTTCCATTTTTGACCAGTACATTTTATTTGTTCATATTAATAGAGTATAATGTGATATTTCAACATGTGTAGATTATGCACATGGCTCAAATCAGGATCATGAACATTTCTCTCTCCTGAACATTGCTTTGTGACTGGAACCTTTGAGTGCCTCTTTTCTAGTTATCCATAATAACAGCTTATCCGTAAGCTATTGTGAACAGATGCTACCTTCTCACAACGATTTTTTATAAGCAAAAACTTAAACAGGGCCGGGAATATAGTTCAGTTGGTAGAGTACTTACTTTGCATGCACAAGGCCCTGGGTTCAATCCCCATCACCACAAAAATAAATAAAATAAAAACTTAAACAGCTTCCAGTCACCTCCTTCATTGGTCTCTCTCCCCTGCCCCTATCAGACCCATCTTTCTCTGTATGAATCATGTCGTGTATTGTTTGGTTGTTATCTGTCTTCCACAAACAACTATAAGCTCTCTGCAAGCAAGAATTTTATATTCATCATCACACCCTCGTTTTAGAAAAAGTTACTGCTACATGGTTGGCCTCAACTGACATTTGTAAAATAAATCAATACATAGATGTCTTTTGTGCAAGAAATGAAACAAAAATAATAGTTTTGTTTAGTTAGAGTCAATAAAGTGTGATTGACATAATTTTCCACATGTGGATGTCATTAAGGGTAGAATCATGTTTAACTTGAATTTTTTGTCTCCCCTGCAGGCAATGTCATGATTGTTAGGCGCTATTCCATTTCTTCATCAGTTCATTCATTTACTGCAAATGATCCCTGGAAAACTAGGAAAAGACATCCAAATGGTGGAATCGTGGAAGCTCAGGGACCAGTTAAGTCACTGACAAGTTCTTCAGTTACAAAGCAGGACAACCAAGACAAGATGTTGGCTGCAGATTCTTTTAGCAACGGTAGTTCCAGCCAAAGAGCTTCTCCTGAGCATGCTTTCAGGTGCAGGTAATGTTCACTGTGCTAGGCACATGCTTAAGATTGGACCAAAATTGTTTCCATCTGATTTATATCCATTTGGGGAATCCATAGGAACAAAAAAATTTTTAGGTCAAACCTTACAAGCACACTCTGATACTTCAAGTAAACATAAAACATAAGCTTTCAATCGTTCATCAGGCCTTAGCAATGATGTTCTGAGCTAGGCACCAACAACACAAGACTCAGCAAAAGTAAGCCATTATGTTCAAAACTCTCATTTAATCCTAGAGACGCACAGCAAACTGCCCACACACCAAAGTGTTTCTAGGGAGAAGGCCTGGGCACGTTGGGAGCTGAGCAGACAGTTGCTCTCAGAGAGAACTCTTTCTGTGGAGGCACATGACTTAATGGGCCGGGTGGGCTTTAGGGTCTTTGAAGCACTCTTCAGGCAAAACTCAAAAGGGCCAAGAGTCAAAGGGAAAGCCAAACTGTCTCCAAATTTTAAAAATTGGTATTTGCAGAGTTCGGCATAGCCTAAGAATGAGAGGAATTTGACAGAATATTTGAGAAACATTTTGGGGTCTTCAAGAGGAATCTTAGCCAGTGACCCCTGCAGCAGGGAGAGTCAAGGAGTCTTCTAGAACAAAAGTGTCATATTAAGCATAATTGATCACCCTACCAGGCTGGAGGGTGGCCTCCTTTCCCCCACACTCTGCCTTCTACCTTCCAACCCCTAGTGAGGCCCTGACTCCAGCCAAGTCTCCACACATCTGTCTTGTGTGAATAAAAGGAGGAAAATCAAGAAAAGAAAACCAGAGCTTCATGATTAGCTTATCAGAGAAAAGAGAAAGTAGAAAATACAAATGTTGAGAGAGTAAGTGAATCATCTCCTTTGGTGGTGACAGAATATCCAATCAAGGGATAACCATAAGTAATCGCGCTGCAGGAATTCTCATAAGTATTGCAAAGAGCACAGACCTCCCACAGGATGTGGGATTCAGAAGTTGAGCCAGTTTTATTTGGATTTCAAAAGACAGAAAGAAAATTGTGTGTCCTTTGTAGAAAGTTCCATCCTAGGAACAGAGAGGAGCCTGAATCATAAAGGAAGGCTAGATTTAGTTAGGCAAAGAAAAATGGAAACCTTATCATAAGTAAAACAAAAAAAGATGTGAAGGCAAAAAAAAAACCCAAAAAACATGACATTAACAGAAACCAAAAGTCGTGATGTGAATGAGGATGGAGAGATGAGCAGAATCTGTCATTAGGGGCCTTCTGTGGCATGCTAAGGAATATGGGTTACATCCTGTAACTATTGGGAGGCTAGTGAACAATTAATTGTCATTTGAAATCTTTCAATGCACAGGAGTATTCAGAAATGTTACAAACACTGATGTAGACATCTACAAGAGTTCTGTCGCATTTGCTTCAGATATTTTTATGTATAGGAGAAATGAAATGTGACTAATTAAGAGGAAGGCCTTATCTCTCTCTTCCCCCAACCCTCTCAGGGGCAAATGTCATCACGAGTTTGGTTTCGATCTTTCCAACCTGTTTTTCTGCTTGAATTACATATAGTCATCTATTCAATAATTATGTCCTGAGTGTGTTCTTCCTGCTGGGCAAGATTTGAGGCCCCTGCATACAGCAGGAACAACTGCCAAGGATCCCAGCCCTCCTGGACCTTGTTTCTTTGTAACATGATAATCAGTGAACATGAAAATTGAGAAAGGGTACATTATGTCAGATGCTGTGAGGAAAAACAAAGCAAAATAGAGGGCAAGGGTGAGAGGAGCCAGCATTGTTAGAATATTTGCTGCCACAGCCAAAAAGGGCCTCACCACTTGAGAACAGAAGGAGCGAGGGATGGTACCCCAGGGAAGAACTCGGCAGGCCTTGCAAACAGCACATGGGAAACACCAGGCAGGAGCATGACTGATGTGTTCAAGGACAGGCAAGGCGACGGGGCTGCCAGCAAGGGAGTAAGCAGCCCAGAGCAGAAAGACGGGAAGGCAAAGAGCCAAGGGCGGTTTCCCCACCTCCAACAACTCTGGATTTATTCCAGGGAATTGGGGTGCATCACCTGCTCTTTTCATTTAAAAAAAAAAAAGGATCATGTTGGAAACCCTGTTGTGAAAAGACTATGAAAGAACAACACCTAAAACAAGGAGACCAGATTTAGACCAGGCTCTAAAGTCCTCTAGGCAAAGGGTGATCATTTCTCTGCCACAGTAGGAACATTGGATATATTTTCTGAATATGTTTAGAAGATGGTGCCAAACAGATTTGTTGACAGATGAGATATGGGATATGGAAACAAGGAGTATATGCAGAGCCACTGGATTTCAATGGCCATGTTTCTTCAGAGAGGGAAGAGGAAAGGCAGAGGTTTGTATTTTTTTTTTATTTTTGCTTTTTGTTTTTAATTTGTTTTCTCTAGAAAAGGAAGGAAAAATGCATAACACACTCACCTACCCCTTACAAATTGCAAAATATAAATGCAATATACAAAGGAAAAACACACAAAAAAGGAAAATCCTCCATAATCCCACTATTAAATGCCTACTCTTTAGATTTTCATTGATCTCTTGTGTCTATACATTTTGAAATTGAAGAATGAACATGTATTAAAATGTCTTATTTTTTATACTTAACCAGACCATAAATGCTAACTAAGAATTATAGTACTATTGATATTCCCATTTCAATTTTTATTTTTTTCTATGATAGTTTGAGAACATAACCAATGTTCATAAAGTATTATTTTTCTGAAGTAAAATGTTTTCCAACTTCCAGGCTGCCAACTCACAAATAGGTATAACACAATCCATTTCTAATTTAGAAGTTAGTTTAATTTGAATGACTGAGACAATTGTAGGATTATATTAAAAGAACAAAGTCAATATTGGCTTAAAATCAACATCAGAATTGGTATAAAATCCACTAGATACAGAACTTTAGTGTATGGTTTAAGTATATTTTTTATTGTAGTCCTTTTCTATTTTGTTCCTTACATTCTCAGGAATTAACTAGTAAAGTGACATGTCATTACATTATTTTTCTGATTGTTTGGGAAATTCACTTACCTCCTAATAACTTTCAAAGAATTTTACAAAGGTTTACAGAGAACCAATTTGTTGGAAATAGATTTTGAATCATATCAGACATCATGCCTAATTTTCTTGTGAACTTTTTCATTATTCTATCATGAAAGCATTTTTTTAGAATAATGCCAATGTCAATATTTTTAAGAACCAAAGCTTTCCAGAAACTAGAGATGGGATTTTAATTTTCATTTAATTTCAACAAAGAAATACAATCTTTTCTTCCTGGGTTTCAGGGGTGGTGGGGGGAGCAATCCCAAGCTGTTAACAAGGAAAGGGTCCAGACAGACAGTTGAAAGTTAAAATGCTGTTTATTTCATTTTTTAATTAAAAAAAGAAGCTAGTTGCATTCCAATAAGTGTATTCTCTCCTTTTCCAAATGGAAGTGGTTAAGAAGATGGTCTCTGGAATCAGATGGCTAAATTCCCAACTCCATCACTGACAAACAACGTGGCCTTGGAAAGAGTTATTAGTGTTGTTTGCCACACGAATTACTCTTCTGTGAAAAGGGAATCATAACAGCAGTTACCTCATAGTCTTAGTGAGGAATAAGTGAAATAGTCCAGTGAATGCTCCATAATTGGCTACGGCCATCATTATGTTATTGATTCCAACATATGAACGCCTGGCCAGCCTTCCTCCCCAGGGGAAGGTGCAGATGTGTTTCCTGAGGTCCGGGCCACAAATGCCATTCTGTGAAGTTATAACCTTATCTACCCATAAAGAGGACAATGCTGGGGGGAAAAAAGCACTCATTTTTAAACACAGCTCTTTAGACTTATTCTTAAGAGCCGTTTGTCCTGGTTTACATCAAAATTCGATATAACGCTTTAGAGATAAAAAGAAGTAAGGAAAATGAAGAGATTGCCCAGGTTACACTGGGCAATTGCTGTTTCCCCTTGTTCCATTTGTTGTTGAGGCATGATGGATAGTCAGTGAACTCAGAGTTGAAAATCAGCAGATGGGTCTGGATTATAAGATAATTGCTGCAAAATTTCTGCTTCATTTCAACTGAAGAGATTTTGTTGCAAGACTGTTTGCTTAAGTCAGTATGATATTCCACTTACATCAAGCTAATAACCAATCCTCTGAGGTACAGACCCTCCTTCAATAGTTTCAAATGCACTATTCACTGGGCTTAATTAAAAGCCAATTGCAATATTTTTTTCTCATGACTTTTTTTTATTTTAATTTGTTATATATGACAACAGAATGCATTACAATTCATATTACACATATAGAGCACAATTTTTCTTGTCTCTGGTTGTGCACAAAGTAGAGTCACATCCTTCGTGTCTTCATATATGTACTTAGGGTAATGATGACCATTGCATTCTACCGTCTTTCCTACCCCTATACCCTCTCCCTCCCCCTCCCTCCCCTTTTCCCCTTTGCCCTATCTAGAGTTCATTTAATCCTCCCATCCCCCCCCCACAGCATATTAGGGATCACCATCCTTAAATCAGAGAAATCATTCAGCATTTGGTTTTGGGGGATTGGCTAATTTCACTTAGCATTATATTCTCCAGCTCCATCCATTTACTTGCAAATGCCATGATTTTATTCTCTTTTAATGCTGAATAATATTCAATTGTGTATATATACCACATTTTCTTTATCCATTCATCTACTGAAGGGCATCTAGGTTGGTTCCACAGTTTAGCTATTGTGAATTGTGCTGCTATAAACATTGATGTGGCTGTGTCCCTGTGGTATGCTGTTTTTAAGTCCTTTGGGTATAGACCAAGGAGAGGTATAGCTGGGTCAATGGTGGTTTCATTCCCAGTTTTCCAAGGACTCTCCATACTGCTTTCCATATTGGCTGCACCAATTTGCAGTCCCACCAGCCATGTATGAGTGTGCCTTTTCCCCATATCCTCGCCAACACTTACTGTTGTTTGTCTTCATAATAACTGCCATTCTGAC